CTACGGTAATGTTGTGGTTCAAACTATGGTGTATTAGGTCAAATCTGATTGAATGGATGACATTAATAACAAAGGTTGAAGATGAGCAGCGCTAAGATTCACTTTAATATTTATAAAAGTGATCATAGATGTAAGGCTGATGTTAACAGCTGTAAATGTGACTTATCATTTCAGAATTTGTTTTGAATAAGCATCATTTTAGTTCAGTTATCTCATCTCTTGGACCTGATGGACCCAAGTGTTTTCACCTTTATGAAAGAATATTTGTTATCTTTATTATCTTTCTCTTTACTTGGAAGGAAATTGGCTTCCATAGATGTTTAATACGAAGATTTAAGAAGTTCTTTTCCAAGCAAAACAGATCATTTAAATAAGAGAGTCTTTTTGCAAAGTTGTACTCCAGACATGTTAGCAAGGCCCCACATGACAGTGAATTTGAACTAATTGAGAGGAAAACTAGTTATGTAAGTCTTGCATGATTCATTTAGATCTTCATTATAACTTAAGAGTAGGGCGGAATTCAAGTTGCTGAAATTCCGATGTGTGCTGGTGCAGGCTGACTTGGCCAATAAGTTACACCCTAAACGAAGGAAAAAGCCTTCTTATGGCGTTACTGTTTTCACACATGCACAAAACCCCTGAAAATGTCCTTAACTATTTTTAGGTGAGCTTGACTGTCATGTGAGCAATCGTGGAGACAGATGTGTTTCTATAGTCAACGTCGTCATAATCCAGAACCGGTAAAAAAAAAAGGGCCTCAATGATTTCTGCCGAGCATTGAGAAGCTTGTTCTGTTTCTGTAGAGGAATCCGAGTTTGTTTCTTAACTTGTTGGCCAGGGTATCAAGGTAAAATAAAAAAATAAAAAGGATCAGTGTGGAATTTGAATGTGAGTTTGTGATCTAATACATCTATTCCAAACCAAATGAAAGCTTTTTTGCTTTATTCAGACTACAGTTAATTTCCGTAGGACTCACCTCCTCCCTCCTGCTCCAGTTTGGGCACAAAGCTGCCAGTGACATGGGCTGCGACTTTTGGGCGAGGTGAAGCCCTGTCCACCATCACGAGTGAGGGCAGCACCCGAGACACTTCATCTAACGGGAGAAAGAAATGTAATAATAAAAGAAATGTGACCATAAGCATACATCTACACAAACCACTGCTGGAAAATCCTCATCAAGTGTTACACGCCTGTAAGTGAAACTGAGCTAAAGCTGCAACGACATCACAGAGAGCACAATAAAAACTACATAAAATTATGAGATCTTAAACGAAAACAGATACAGATACAGAAATATTTTAAAAGGAAATAAAAGACAGCTCAAGGAAATTGCAGAATCATTTGTGAGGGATAAGCTCTCTGCTCAACGTTCGTTTAAAGACAGGACTTAAAGGAGATCACTGACTCAGCTGCCCTGATTTCCTCCAAACGGATTGTTCCAGACCATCGGGGCCCTTAATGCAAACTCTCTGTCCCCCCCTTCAGACCTCTCCCCAACGATCTCACAGTAATTTATCAGAACAATCTTCAAATCTTTTCTAAAACAAACGAGGCGGGAGCATAAATTGGCCAAAACAGCAGAGGTGTTATCATGTTTCTTTGTTCTGGGTCAAAGCCGGGCAGCTGAGTTCTGCACAGTCTGCTCCCAGCCAGTGGATTTTGCAGCAACTGAGGCGTAATCAAATAATTAGTCAAACTAATAATCTTTATTCATTCAGCACCTTTCCTTACAAGGTGAACGTGCTTCACGCTCAGCTCAAGGTCAAGATGAAAAGATGAAATACAGTAATAGAAAACAAAGATTTCTAAAACCACGCTCCATGTCTTAAAAGTCTTTTATATATATTTATGTGCTATATGTATTTAAGAAAAAGTACCAGGTAATCTTGAATGATGTGTTCTCTTACCTCTGACTGCCGATGAAATCTGCCTCTGGTAGCGCTGAGACAGAGACTGCAGGTGGAAAAGCAGAAGACATTTATTTAAGACTCCATAGATGTACATTTTTATACATTAGCTACCAGGGATTGGAGCAAAATTGTTTGGAAAGTTTATGTCGGGTTTTATTTTCAGAAAAGGGGATCTGAGCATTAACTGAGATAGAAATACAAAGATACAAATGATTCCAGACATAAAAATTTAAAATGCAACCACAAACATGAAACTAAACAATATTTTTTAAGATCAAATAAACGTAAATATCTCTCTTTAGGTCCAGAAGAGCCGTCAGCTCACTCCACAGCTGAAACACTGCAGACTTTGACCCTGAAATCCCGCTGACATCAGGATCGGGAAGTTTGCTCAGGTGAATAAAAAGGTGCCTTCATGTTCAGGTAACAGATCCTCTCCTCTCCTCTCCTCTCCTCCTCGTGTTTTTACGCCCTTCGACCAAATGTTCAGCTCAAAAAGATGCAACCGCTGCCAAAGTGATGCCAAATATTTTCTACGCTGGAGTGAATTGTGGATGTGTTTAGTACTGAAACTTAAAATGACTTGAAAAAGCATGAAAGATGGGCAGAGAGGAGAGAGAAAGAAAGGCACATATTTTTGAGAGATGTTTCCTACAATAGTAAATCTAATGAAATAAATATGTTGTTGCACTTTCTAGCATAGTTTGCATTACTTAATGATTTCTCCTTTAAAGTATTTTTACAGCTTAGGCAACAACAACGACCGAGGTGAAAGAAAACAGCGCATGTTTGAGCCAAATGTACCTGCATGAATGTGAATACAGATAAACTTTCCCTTTAACGATGTTCAATCCTTCTGACTGAAATCTGACACAAAACCAACAAAAACATCCTGGAAAAGAAGCATGCTAAAATTTCATCTCCTTTATCTACTTTTCAACAACTATAACCCAATTTTTAAAGGCACAGAACATCAATAAAACAATTAACCATCTATAACTATATTTCCTCTTATCGTCACTTTTTGAGAATGTTTTATTTTTACAATTTCTTAATGGAGTATTTAGATTAATGTCGAAGTTAAAGCTTCAAAACTACCAGGTCTGGATAAGAAAAGATGAATGCAAAGTGTTGAATAGTAAATGTTGAGTTGTGCTATTCCAGGTGAAAGAGAAAGAGAAAGAAAAAGCATTTGCAAGAGGTTTGCAGATCTCTCATACCATCTAGTCACGACCATGTTTACTCCTGATGAAATATTTGCATGCTGACGAGCTGAACTAAGATGGTAAACAGGTAAACAATTAACCTGCTAAACATCACTTTTGTGTCAATATGATTTTGTGATGATATAATAGCAGAACAAGCGATAACAACATGTAATTATAACTTCACAGGGTCCTTGAATGTGCAGCACCCTGCGTCCTGAGTCGAGACAACAGAGCCATGTTTTGAGTCAAAGTGTCCCAGCGTCATTGTTTGTGTTCTGAACGAAATTCAGTCAAACAGCTGGGTCAGAAAATACCCGACTTAAAGAGAGCAGCAAAGACAGAAGAGAGGAGAGACAAAGAGAGCGTGTGCATGTGTGTGTGGGTATGAGAGCCGGGCAGGTGAACACATTCCTGGGCTGATTAAACCACACAGGATCACATCACATCTCCAGCTATGAAGGAGCTCATTGTGCGTCTGCAGACTCTGATTTGGATCATTTCAGCATTTTTCTGCTCCGGCTCTTTTTCAGAGTTCAGGAAACCTCTAATAATGATAATATTAAAAATTACTTGTAATGCACTTAAATCCTCACTAGTCACTAAATGCCACGTCTCTATATTGATGGTCATTGATGTAAGTTTTATGTTCAGAATCATTTTAATTTGCCCTTGGTCTCTTTTTGATGAATCAAGAATCATTTTGTCTGTAAGATGCCAAAAACATAGAATATGTACATTTAAGAAGCTTTAAGCAGCAAATATTTTACATTTTGCTTTAAACTACTGAAATACTATATTAGAATTTATTTTAGGACTGTGTATGTGCAAGTATCAAGGGATGTAATATGAATCAAAATACAGTCACAATGTTACGATACACTGCAATACTGTAAACAAGGTTATAACTTTCTTATCTACTTTATTTTAGAACAAACGTCTACGTTTAAAAAAAAAAACAGACCAAAGTCCAAGTTAACAGATTACTTTCTTCAACTCAATCAAAGCAGCTGTATCTGCACATGTAATAATCGCAGTCTCTGCAACATTCATAGCACAACTTTGTGCAATATGAGCAAAGGGTTTAAACATTTTTCTTCATCTTCAGACTGAACTCATGCATAAAAACCTTGCATGTAAAGGATTTATTTCAAGTTTCTGACTACCCCATACAGTATTATAAAACATAATGTGTGTATCTTTATATTCTAACAGTTGCTGTAAATATTCTGTAGTTACATTTGTTGATGAATGAACTTTTAAATGGTTAAAAACTCATCTTAACTGACTGAATATTTGTCTCACTGAGTAAAAAGACGTCTGATGGATTTCTATAATGTCTCCAAACTGTGTAAAGTGTGTTTTTACACAATGCTTTGTTAAGGAAACTTTTGCTGAACTCCCAACTGTAAAACCTCTGATAACATAAGAGACCCTTGAATATTATTAAAAACCTTTGTTGGCCTTAGCAGATGAAGTGTGGGGGGATTAGTAATGTCTCCAAACTCCAGTGGGTGGGGAGATTTTGATCCACAGCAGGCCACAGAGAAGAAAATTGCTTTTTGAACGCCAAAAATCTCAGCAGCTGGCCAAATAATCAATGAGTCATTAAAACTGATGGACACAAACTGATATGTAAAGGTCGTTCTGAGCTGTGTGATGGTGATGTAATGCTGGATACAGCTTCAAAGTGACAATGACAATCAGAGTTAGACTTTGAGGGGAGTAGAGGTCAGTGTTCGGGGCTCTTTTTGTTTCATCCTACCTTTTCTATGAGCAGGTGAAGCTGCTGAGTGACCTGCCAGCATGGATCCCCACGTACAGCCGTGATGCTCTGTAGGTCGGCGCCCGTCAGACAAGAAACGCTGCTCCTGGCAAACGTCTCCTTCATCTGCACAGAGTGGAAACAACAAGAAGAGCATCAAAAAATGAGAGCGATGTCTCTTTAGTTTGTTATCAATCACGCCCTGAGAAGGTATTCCCGGCTTTGGTTTGCTCTCTGAACATTGCGTACCTGAATTTGACCATATTTCAAACTGGACTATATCATTTAATGTATAAAAACATGATAATTGCGTTGAAAAAATAATGCATAAATCTTTTTTACTTTCACAATTGTATGTCTTTGTCCTGACTCAACATCATCTCCTGGCATGTTTCCCTCTTCTTTCGTTTTATTTGTTTAGATTTCATTTCCCGACATATTGCTGCTTCTTTAATGATTAACTCCTGTAAACACAGACTGAGAGCTCAACTGGACTGGATCCAGGTTACCATGGGACTCTGGCTTCACCAAAACAAGCACAGTGAGTCTAACACACAAACACACACACACACACACACACACACACATACACAGGCAACTCTGTGAAAACTCTTCCTGATAATCACAACTAATCATAAACTAGTTCCAGTCCACCTCTTTACTCCCCTGTCTACTTTTTTTTCTGTTTGCAAAGGCAGACGAAAGGAAGGTGTGAGTCAATGCATGAAGCTGAACTGTGCAGAATTGATATCTTTTGCTGTAAAAGCAGTATTAATGGCTTGTAATGCATTGTGCAGAAGAGGCGAGGAGATTCGACGTGTGCTCTGGAGCGCAGCAGCAGAACCCGAGTGCATAGAAACAAGTTCAGAAAGTTACCAAAAACAAAGTGTCAACAGTTATCTTACGCACCAAGTCTACAAAAATGACAGCCAAGTGAACAAAGTCAAGAAGGAATCTGATTTTATTTTAGCTGCGTTTCACTTTGCGTTACGCGCGGCGCGGCGATGCGTAAAATACTCCGCGCGTCTTCGGCTCCCTAGTCCGAACTTTCTACTTGTTTCTTACCGAGTTGAGAGCGGTGGTGAAGTGCAGCACGGTGATGGTGACGACCACAGTCTGCAGCAGAACCGCCAGCAGCAGCAGCACGCCAAGCTTCGGACCGGAGCCCGTCATAACGACAGACCCGCCGTCCGATAGCCGACCAGCGCCGTCCCGTCCAGTCCCTTTTCCAGACTTCAAGGAAAAGAACAATGGCAGAGATCTGACTCCTTCACTTCTACCCTCCCCGTCCTGTGCAGGCAGGAGGAGGCCGAGGGGGCGGGGCCGGCCTGCAGAACAAGAGCCTTTTCCCTCTTACAATTTCTCCAGGACAGATTATTGTTTCATTCGTGCGCTGTAAAAACACAGATAGCCTTTAGTTTATTGTGAACCCGCATATCAGTGCTGTAGATCTTTGCACCGAGCTTTACTGTGAGAAAAACACATTTTACATCACAATATGATCCCATATATTGTTTGAAAACGTGCAAAGAGAGGCACTACAGCTGAAGTTTGGCATGTAGGCTACATGACTCTAACAACAACTTTATAGAGGCTACCCCCACTTAAAGCTCCTGTGAGGAGTTTTTAGCTGGTTATAAAACAGACTGAAGTCAATACTGACTCAGCATAAATGTTCACTATGTCTAGAAAGTTATTTTCAATGGCTAACATTGCTCTAATGGGGTAAATGTCAGATGAGGAGAGTCACAGCACAGTGCAGAAATCAAGCGGCAACCCCCAGTGGTGAAATGTGAAGCCAAGTGAAAGTGCAAAAAAGTGCAGTTCCTCTAGTGTCCACTTGAGGGTGGCTGCAAAAGCCCCAGAAGTCCCAGTAACACCCACCTTAAAAAGCCCATTTTCAACAGCAGAAATAAAGATGTTTACAACCTGGTACACACTGTACAGGGTGGGATTATTTTGTCCCGCCAGCACTTTGATGATAAAAAGAGTTCGTCATGAATTTAGACAATTATGTGTTGAAAGAGTTGACTCACAAGCAAGCATGTTGTAGCTGTTTGTTAGGAGGCTTAAGGCCAGCGTCAGCTCCAACTCTTTGCCTGTTTCTAGACTGACTGTATGAGACAGCATTTCCATGGCAACCGGCTTAATTGGGCTTCTTTTTTAAACAGTTTTCACAGCAAAGATTCATTATGAATAATACAACGACTTGAAAAAAAAGAATTAAAAAAAAGAAGAAGAAGCCTGATCACATTTTGTTTGTTAAAAACGTTGTGTACACATGCACAGGACAAAATCAGCACAGCTAGGAGAGGTACGGATTTGTCCACAGGGGGCTCTAAAATCAGCATAAACCAAAGGTTCCAGAACTGATATTTCATTTCATTAACAGACATTAAAACATGTAGCATCACTGAGCTGCAGCAGATTTATTTAGGGTTTAAAACTAGCTGGTATTTTGCCGCGCTGGTGGCACAGTGGCAGGGCGCGCGTCCCACGTGTTGACACTCTCATCTCGAGCGGCAGGCCCGGGTTCGCCTCCACCCGTGACCCCTTTCCGCATGTCATTCCCCGCTCTCTCTCCCTGGTTTCCGGCTCTATCCACTGTCCTCCCTCTGAATTAAAGGCACAAAAAAGCCCAAAATAAATCTTTAAAAAAAAACTAGCTGGTATTTTAGGGGACAACAATAAATTAAGATGTTCTGACGGGGACTTGTTGTTGCTCTTGTTTGCTGACTCAGACCAAATGAAGCAAAGATGTCAGGCTTTTCAATAGCATTACAGACGTTTTCAGTCTCATTGTTTCTGTTTGGTTTATTGGAGAGGGGACAGTAAAAAAAAAAGGAAGAAAAATGACAAGTGCTATGTTTCAACAGTAATGTCTTCCCAAGGTGTAAAATAATCATAAAATATATCGTTACCTGGACATCCTTTATGCTTCTTCTGGGCTCAGGTATGCAAGAAAAAATGTTTTAAGGACTCTAAATTTGATCACTTAAGTTATATTTACTGGTTTTGGAGATAGTTTTTTATCTCTTTGGGCAGCTATCTGAGGAGAAGATGTTGAATATTGACGTATTTTTGGAAGCTGATAGCTCTCTTGTCTTTATCAGGCTGCATAACAGAAACATGATGGTCTATTTCACTCAACATCGTTGCCACCCTGTTGACAGATAAAGTGCGTTGGAAAGAAATCTGAGGTTAGACCGAGAGGCCGGTATGAAGGACAAAAACATTTGTTTTTCATTTTTGTCCACATTATTTCACATCACTGACCTTTAACTGCTGGAAAAGCTGAAAAAGTTCCAGTTTTGTGTCAGGGGCGATAAAACAGAAAAAACTATAAAGTTCTTGGAAACAAACTTTGTTATGTGAACTAGTTGACCTTCAGCCTCTTTAATTGTTCTCTTATGGCCTTTAATTTTTTTATATGATTTAAATAAAGTCTCATGGATGTAAACTAGTGATAAACAGATAACATATCAAAAGATAGGGCTGAACTTTTCAATAAAAATAACTGATACACATTATGATACAAATATGTGCATTTCTGTACTTTTCGTTTTGTGTTATCTCTTTTTTATGTCTTCAGTTATAAATCATTAATTTGATGCTGATATACACCGCTGGAATAGAACTGAATTATATACATCAAATATGTGTATTTTATTTTTGCATAATTTTGATGCCAAAACATACTTTCCTATACATATATTTTGCATTTTGCCACATCCTGATATTTTATATATTAATAATGCTTTATCTAACTGTCATCTAAATGTATCTACAGTGCTCCCTTTGATCTGTCAATATTCTGCCAGTTTAAATGATTAATTTAATAGGATTTTATTGGACTTTATTCCCTACATTTGATAAACACAAGGTGTATAGTTTAAAGGTTTAAGATTTGCAAAAGTAATCCTACATTGTTTCATTCATTCATAGTTGCAAAATGCTCACTGCAGTATTTTTTTAGTCATATTTTTCTTTATTTGCAGCGTCAGGGCGCAGTGACTGACAATAGAAGAAAAAAAAGAACATCTCAGGGCAGTCACTGTATTTGAAATGCTGACTCTAGCTATCTTCATGTTAATCTAGAAACAGACAAAGAGGTGAGGTTGAGGCTGAGGCAGTCTTCATCTGTTTATGACAATCCAGAAATAAAACCTATCACGTCTGTGTGCCACAGGGTTTTTCCCAGGGAAAGATCTCTCTGACATCATGTTTGGAACAGCAAAGTCAGCAGATCTGCTTTCTTTGTTGTATCAGTCAGGGAAACAGGAAATTTGAGACCCATAAAAGTTGTGTATTTATATTCTTAATATGTTTGGTTTTGTATGCAGGTAACAGAACAAAGTTATCACATACATACGAGAAAAATACACATTTTAAAACCTAAACAAAAAGAAACATGGTCATTCAGACCATTCATGTACAGTATGTACTTTTACCGCTTAAAATCCCAAAGGTTCTTTTTCCTTGAGTTATTTTGATTTTGCATATCCTTATATCCGTACTATTTTCACATTTTTCCAATATGACCCAAACATCAACTTTTTACAACAACACAATGATGTTCTCCACATCCGTTATGGGACACACATAAAAAAGAACAGATCTGGAAAGCAGAAAGTGCTACAAACAGCTTTGGTCACGTTTTCATCAGTGTGTAGCTGTGCTATAAGGCGGGCTGAGCCTATAAATGGATCCTGGTCCTGTGTGCTCGATCTGCATCTGCAACATCTGGCCTCAATCTGGCTTCTACGCCCCGTCGCCCCCCCCCCAGGGAGACGCTCTCCGCTTAGGTTTCACTGTTCTCCAATGCTACAAGCCTGCAGGGGCTGCTGGGGGTAACATACAACTGTGTGTGTGTGTGTGTGTGTGTGTGTGTGTGTGTGTGTGTGTGTGTGTGTGTGTGTGTGTGTGTGTGTGTGTGTGTGTGTGTGTGTGTGTGTCATAAAGAGCACAGAGAATACATTAAGGTCAAGATATTCCATGAGAGCATCCTTAGTAGAAGCTGGAAGGATACATACATATTTCTCTTTGACACACACCCTTGATTTTGACACTTTTCATTGACTCACATGAACACCCTGTAGACTTCCCCTAAACATGATCCACAATAGCCAGTCCTAAAATCTAAGATGTAAAATACATCTTCTTTCTGTCCAGATCTAAGTCCCCATTATGTGAAATGATTGTAGTCCCAGCGTTGTGATAAATACAAGCTCACACACGCACTCTGAGTGTGTTTCTGAACGGCAGCCAAGTTTTGACAGGGATACTAAGAGGAGAACTGACCGACTCCCCCACAAAGTCCACTCCCTCCCTCCTCAGTCGCTTTCCAAACTTAGTCTTCCACTCCTCACTCCCCCCAACCTCTCTTTGTGTCTGTCAGCCTCTTTTTTGTTTCTCTTTGTCTGTTTCGTCCTGTTTCTTACACAGCTTTCCTTTTATCTCAGTTTCATTATATCTCCCACCCTCATTCTATTCCTCTCAAGTTCTGATTGCTCATGTACTGTCCTCATGTACTGTTCTTAC